TGAGGGAACCCAGTCAATCTGATTTAAATGGTGCTAAGGGGGAAAAAAGAGCAAGTCATGGCTTTGCCTAGAGGGAACAAAGATGGTCCTGAGGATCTGGCTGTCAGAGGGATGGAGGCAGAAGGTGCCAAATCCTGCCCATCTGTCCCTAACACTGGTTGGCTTCAGTGTCATGGATGTTGAGGTCACCATAGGTAGTGGGCAGCAGATCCAAGACCTTTCAGCTGGGTCTTGCTTGACCCCCCCAAGGTGAGCATCCATTTCTTGGAGTCTCTGCAGCACACATGTCTCTCAGCATGATCTTTGGGATGCACAATTTCCCAGCCAGGTGCTTCCTGCAAACGTCCTCGGTCATGTGTGATGGCACCAAGATGGCAGTGACCAGGTGGGACGCCCTCAGCTCTGGTTCCCTGCCATCATGCCACCTGTTCTCCTCTCTGCAGCCTCTCCAGGGGTTTCAGGTGGGGATGAAACACCTTGGAGACCTGTGCAGAAAGCAGCCCATCAGCAATTTCCTTGCCATCTCCCATGTGGCTTGGCAGGAATGATGCTCGGTGAGGCTGCACATCAAGCTCACCTGTGGACAGATCTACAAGTACATGGGATGGACCAAACCCCTTGGGGACTGCTCTCTTTCGCTGCTCTGTTGGCTCTTAGACTGAGACCAGGCAGAGGAGGCTGCGGGGTTCTTGGTCTGGTGCAGCTCTGGGACATGGCTCACATTGGTCCCACCACAGGACATCCTCAGAGGAGAGCAGATGTGCTTCCACCACTCCTTGGAGAGCTGCAACCCCGGATCAGGTCTGCAATTCCCAGCAGGATGAGAGGGAATCAGAGGGACCTGGAGGTCTGGGGAAGTGGAAGGAGGACTGGCAGCATGAGGATACCTCAAAACCAAGGGTCTCCAGCCAGCAAAATGGAGGACAAGGGAAGGACAGCACTTGGGAGCTACATGTAGGAGAAGAAAGGGTTGAGAGGAGGCTCTAGGCTGGGGACGTCTAGGACAGGATGGGTGCCAAGGGATAGTCAGGACTTGGAAATACCTTGGGGCAGGAAAGGTGGGAGTCCTTATTGCCCACCAGCCACTTCTCCACCTCCTCTCTGCTCTCAAGACCATGGCAGACCCCAGAAGGGCACTGTTGCTGGGGGGAGCACCAAAAAAAACCACCTTGAAGCTTCAAGTTGGAAGCCACAACCCCTCGAGCACCCACGCAGCCCCAGAAACAGCCCTTGGCACCCGCCGGCGGAGCTGGTGTGCCTGTCTCCAGGTGAGCCTCGCTGAAGCTCAGCCCAGCGTTGCAGCCCAGGGTGCTCCGCTGCCGGCACAAGCCTGGACCGCTGTCTGCACCGGCTAACAACTTGAGCTCGTCATTTGGCCCAGGTTCAAGACGTCCCTTTTCTTGGCTGCAGTCTGTGGTTTCTGTCTTGCCTGGCTACTTCCTGCTGTCACTGAAGCCTTTCTGCTTCAGGGTGGCCAACCTCTCCTAACTTTTTTGCCAAGTTCTCCTAACTTTTTTTTGCTCTGTGTGACATGGTAACAGCTTTCTTGCCTTTCCTGCAGAATGTCTAGGGGAGCTTGTACAGCCCTTGCACACCTACTGGCCTGGCACACGCTGCATCGACGCTGCCTTGTCTTTGTACCTGTGGTGAAGAAGCAGGTTTGCCCTGCCCCAGGGTATGTCTATGTGAGTCCTCCTCTGCTGCTTCACTGCAGCATCATCTTAAAGCATCTTCTTTACATCACTTGTCCCAGCTGGGGTCTGTGGATTCAACTCCTTCTTGGGGAAGGGGTTTTGGTCCCTGCTGCATGCTCCAGATCCCAGCCCATCCCGTGACAGGGCATCTCCTCGGAGGTGTTTCCCCCAGCTCCATCTCACCGTGGCAGCACTGCAGCCGCCTGCCTCAACAAGCAAGAGGCTCCCACTAACCCTGACACCTTATTTTCCTGAAAAGCAGCATTCTGCAGTAAAACTGGAAGTGATGTGCAAACGCCCGTGCGTGTGCAGGCACAGGGACATGCGGGGCTGCATTTGTGCATTCGTGTCCATGTTCACGTGTGCCTTCCTGAGCAGGTATCTGTGCCTGAGCATGGGGTAAACTCCAAGACTCTTCCACAAGCCCTGCTTTTAGGTTAAATTTTAGGGTAAATTAGAGCACCCTGATGGGCACATCTTTTTAACCTGTTTCAGCCTAATGCCCACCTGGTATTTGAAGGGAAAAAACCACCTATGCAGTGTTTACATCTGCAGCCACAGAGACACCAGGATACTTCTCACATGCTGGCTCGTTCCTGCTGTCTGCTCGTCCGCTGTCTGTGGTTGCAGACGTACTCAGCTGGGCCTGGTTTCTAGGTGATTTTTGCAAACATTTCACAATCCCCTGACACTGCAAACAGCACTACAAGAGGTCCTGCAGAAGGCAGGGCCAGCCTCACTGGGCTGGACGCAGCGTGTCCCCAACAAACGCTGCCTGCAGCCCCCTCCCCAGCAGCCCTGGCTGACTCCCAGTGCACGGGTGTCAGTTCCCAGGCTGCCAGTAAAGCCCAGGCCAGAGCACAGCCTCATTAATGACTTGGTTTAATGCTGTTTTCCCAGAGCAACTGCAAGCACAGAGCCCCTGCTTTGACCAACCAGTGCTTGTCCAGGGAGGTTCAGACTCTGAGGGAGAGGCTCAGCCGTGAGCAAAAGATGCTGTGTACAAAACCATTTTATGCCCCTGTGTTTGCTGGCATCTCAGGACCCCTTGGTGGGGACGGCTGAACAAACGGGATGGCTTCACCTTGCTGGGCAACAACAGCTGCAAGAGAGGGGACTGGCACGGTCCCCCTCCCTGTGCCAGCAGCTCCCAGCCCCTCCACCCCAGGGATGCAGCACCCAGGGGGGGCTGCAAAAGCCAGGACCTGGGGGATGACGGTGTGTGGGGCAGGAGAGCAGCCCCCCATGCATCCCTTCCTACCCCGCCAAAGCCCATCACAACAGCCAGAACGAGTGAGCTTGGTTGTAAAGGATATATTTTATTGCCTCACATCCTCTCCAAAAGCTGGTCTGGCAGACAGCCGCGGGCTCCCACGTGGAGGAGAGCGCAGCAAGGAGCCAGCTCAGCGCCCGTCCCGTACTCAGGGCCGGTATCTCGGACTTCACAGTTTCTTTACACAGCCTTAAAATAATAGACCTAAATGCCTGCCTAATAAAGCAATCAAGCCAGATAAATGTGCTCGATAGATACACTCAGTCACAAGCTTTACTCCAGCCAACACACAGCCTTTGCTGATAACTGTTAAGCCCCACAAATCCTATTATTGCAATTATATGACTTAATAGACCTTTACTGACCAAAGTCCACGTCAGAAGTCTCTGCAAGCAGATAGCACTGCAGCGTCGGTACAGCCCTTCAAATTGCTCCTTCTCAGCATGCTGGAGGGGGTTTGCAAGGATGGGGAGATGCCATTTGCCAGCCAGCCCCCTCCCAGGGCTCTGTCCCCCCTCTGCTTGCAGTCTTACCTTATTGTGTCCTCGGGTTAATGACTTCTCATTTTACTGAGGGTTTGGGATAGAGCTGCTTTCAAACAGCTGCAGCGATTCTCTCATGAATTTTGCAAAGTCTTCTATTTCCCCACCTGCACAGACTCAAGTGCAGTTTTCACTATGCGGGCTTTTCAGACTTTGAAGAAAGTATCTGAGTTTCTTTTTTTTTTTTTTTTTCAGAAAGCTAAACATTTGGCTTAATAATATCTGAATCTCTGACAACAGCAAAACCAAGGGAGATAAAAGGGTAAAATTCCACTAAAAGTTGAACAATTTGGTCTGATTTCATTGCAATTTTGTAACTAAAAAAAAAAAAAAAAATCAAAGGAACAAATCCTGACTATCTTCTTCCAAACTGCACTGCAACAGTGTGCTATACAAGCTGAAGGGAAAGCCTAGAACAGCCCAGACACAGAGCCACACTGTCACCCCTTCTGTCCCCAAGCTCTCCATCTCAGCAGCTACTAACTGCCCTGCGAGGAAGCGCCCAGCAAGCAGCCTGGGCAGGACCCCGGGGATGTGGGACCTGCCTGGAAGCCGAAAAGGAGCAAACAGGTGAGAGGGAAATGAAACGCAGCCATCATTTATTTGGTAGAAAAATAAGAGCAATCTTCCAGAAAAGCCAGCCTCAGGCATAAAGGGTACTGTGTGAAGCATGAGGAGCCAGAATTAGAGCCTTCCAGGAAGACTGAATGAAAGCAGTCTTTAAATATAAATACAAATGTATAACCCCCCCCCCCCCAAAAA